ATTTAATTGGTACCTTACAGAATGCAATTTTATCATTAGCAGCTGTAGGCTGGGGCGTAGGTGGGATGAGACCTGCCATGTAACTCTGTTGCTGAGACGTATAAGAACTGTTCCTTTTGAAGTTTTGTAGTAGTGCTTTTGTGTATTCGTGTGGCTTAGAGGGCCTTCAGAGCATGCTGTGAGCTGCTGAGTGGAAGTGGTGTGTTTCCCTGAGGATGAGTTATGCTGTACTGAACTAAAGGTTACTTGATAATTTTCTGTAATTGTTCTAGGCATATCAGTTAAACAGAGCCTCGGCACAGGTGGCCAGAAAAGCAGCAGATGATGTAACTGCTCAGACAGGTAAGCAATATGTATTTCAATTTATTATTCATTTGTGGTTTTGACTGTCTTGCTACAATCTTTGAAATGTTGCTAACTAGAGGATAGCTTGATGGTTTACATCACAGGGACATAACTTGCAGATGTGCACGCTTCATTTTAGGCACAGGAGCAATTTCACATCCCTCTTCTATCACGCTCATTTCAGCATGTTTGTAGGATCTGGTTGTTAGTGTTTTCTGCAGGATGACTGTTCTGTGCCTGCCTGTTTTAAACTACAGGTGATGCACATCTTCCAGATGTGTTTTAGAGAAAACAAACTCAGCAGGGACTGTTATAATTTACTTAGGTTTGTACAGCACAAATCTTTGTACTACAGAATTGAAATAACTGATTGTGGGTAAATGTGGATTAGCAGTTACTCCCAGTTTGAGTCTCCTGGTTTGACTTTACTGAGCAACTACTGGAATGTGCTTAGTATGTGACCATCATTAGTAAATGTGCAGTCTTTTACCCTCAGGGCCTCATGTGAGAGGGTTTTAGCTCATTTCCACTGCTGTAGACAATGCTGTCTTTCAAAGGCAAGTAATTTCCGCTTGTATTCTGGCATCAAGTTGTGTTTAAAGCTAACAGTGCTGCTGCTGTCCAGATAATGCCTTACTGATGTAATTCATAGTATACAATAAAAATGTAAGATTTGGAATACGCTTTAAAAAAAAGTATTTTTCTTTTTTATGAACGCATGCCAGAATATTCAAATCAGGTTATCTAGTGAAAAATACCAGGGCAGTTCTATGCTGTGCGTTTAAAGTAATTGAATGAAGCTTCATGTGTCAGAGACAAATGATACTTAGAAGAAAAATTAATTGAGCCAGTTGCCTGTTTCGTAGATGTTCTGCCTCGTGTGTATATACACTGAACATCTTGTTGAATGGGATTAAAACAAAAAAGTCAGTTGTGCTGGGTAATCTTGTGCTGATCCAACTGTTGATTTGAGACAAGAGTTTCCAGTTTTATAGTGCTTCATTGCTGAATGATATGCATGTCTTGGTGTCCTTGAAGGTTTTTTATATTGACACGGCTGTCATTGTAAAAGCGGAGGTAAATTGTATTTTTGGTTTGGTGTTTTTTTTTGTTTGTTTGTTTCCTATGTCTTTGTTTAGGAATTAGGAGATATGTTGCTGGAGCCATGGGTCCAACAAACAGGACACTCTCTGTGTCACCATCTGTGGAGAGGCCAGATTACAGGAACATAAGTAAGTATTTATTACCATCAAGTTATTTAACTTAGGTGATGGTCTTGAAAGAGAGAGATCCAGTTGAAATTAACATCATTCCTGTTTTAAAGCTTTTGATGAGCTGGTTGAAGCCTATAAGGAACAAGCCAAAGGACTTTTGGATGGAGGAGTTGATATCTTGTTAGTGGAAACCATATTTGATACAGCCAATGCCAAGGTGAGAGTCCTGGAAAAAAACCACCTCAGTAATATAAGTATTTAGTGTACTATCTAAAGAGATTCAACATGGTACTTGTAAGACCTATCAGCTTCTGCTTACTAAATACATGAAAAGACTCTTCAGTCAATAACAAACAGGCGGTATGTAAAGAGATGGTTTTTAATGATAAAACAGCCTTTTCCAGAATATTTTCCTTTGCCTTTTAGTATGTGCTGTTAGTATCTTTCTGGCGATCTGTGCCAGCTGTGCTTTTATTCCCAGTTCTGCTGTGTTGCAAAATATCTCCAAATGCATGTCTGTCTAAAAGATGCTTGTGATGCCCACTGGAAAGGGAATGTCCAGTGTATCTGATTGCAGGTATGGGAAGTCTTGTCAGACAGTCCTGCTTAAAATGTGGGGTTTTTTTTGGGAACTCTGACACTGCTATCAGCTTTAAAAAAGAAAAATTGGGATTAGAGGATTAGAAGGGTAAAATAGGAGAATTAAAATGACGTATGCCACAATTCATGTGATTTTGACACCTCTTTCTTTATGTAATAATTGCTCAATGCAGGTGGTAGAGTTGCTAGGGCACTTAAAACTGTCTTGTAATTTTATATGGAAAAGTCTGGCTGGATATGCACACAGCATTTTATTTAGAATTTTGCCACAGGCTGATTAATGTGTGCAGTGGGATGACTTGTTCTTTGGAGATTTGACCAGTCATCTTAGACGTTTGACTGGGATACTACAGGCTTAACATTGTGCTGAGCTCATGTTCACATGCAACTTTCTTACCCTAAGGAGGCAGGAAATCTTCAGGAACTTCCAAGCAGTCACTACAGTCCTTACTGTTAAAATTTGTGGTAGTTAGAATCCTTTGCAAACTACATGTCTGAACAGATTCAAGGGCAGTGAATGTGTACTGAGAATACTGCATACAGCCATTTTTGGGGTGGGAATTGAGCTGCAGATGTGAGGGAGAAGTACATGCCGGTGTGATTTGGGTTTCAGAATAGTCTTGGTCTTATTTGATTACCCTGTGGTACTTCCTCCCCACCTGTGACAAAAGTGGTTTGGAACAATTAGAAGGTGTTAGGTCTAAGGGTAAAACCTCTTGGGTGTGGTAAGATCTTGCAGGCAATGTGAGGTAGCATATTGCATAAAAAATTTTAAAAACCCCAACCAAACCCACACAAACAAAAAACCAACAAACTGAAGAATTCTCAAAACGTTCATTAATATTTTGCAACTTATTCTTCTGCAGGCTGCTATTTTTGCACTCCAGACATTGTTCAAGGAAGAATATGACCCTCGACCCATATTTGTAAGTGTGTATTATTTAATATTTTACATATACTTAAGCTTGATTTGTGAACTATCTGAGATGGCAGTTGATTAAAGTGTTTTGAAATTAAGGAAATAAGTGTCTTGGAAATTTACTTTTTTCACATGATTGGGAAAGGAAAAACTCTTGATGTGAAGAGCTTTATGAAATCAGCCTTTTGTAGCTCTGTCCAGCTTACTAACCTGAAGACTAAGGAATGACTTCATTCCAGTGTGTATTCATTCTTTGTATTTCCACAGGAAAAGGTCAGATCATGACTTTCCTTCCACACTTGCCATCTTAAGGGTAACAAGAACCAGTGCTTCAAGGACGAAATTAAGCAAATTCTGCCATATTCTCAAATAGATTATGAGTGGCCGTTTGAAGTCAGAAATGGTCTAACTCCATGTTCTTTCTCTGACGTGTCTTTTTCTGACAACGGGTAGTTGTGAATGTCGGAACGAATATAGAGTAAGAATAGGCTTGTTTTAGAAACTCTGATGTATTCTTCCAGTTTTTTTTTAGTTTGCAGCCCAGGCTTTCTGATCTGCAGTTTTTATCTGTTCATACACTTTTGATGAATGTATTTACTCCTTCCTTGAACCTGTGTTCAAACCTGTGTGGGACCCAGACACCAACAAAATAATCTGTCAGTAACTTATGCAGCTTATGAATGCACTGATTTGAAAGTTTGCTTACTTTTGGACAGTCCATCTGGTAACTTCTTTTGTATCTTGCCCTTTGTCTCATAAAAGCGACAGTGAGTAGCTGCTCCACGTTCCCTTTGCTGCGTAGTTATGGCATTTACAGTACTCTGTGAGAGCCTCCTTTAGTCATCTTTTTTTCATCCTGAAGGGATCCTTGCCTGCTTAGCTGCACCATACCATTCATTCATTATTCTTGTCACCTTTTTGTTTTCTGCTTTCACGAGTCAGAGGGAGAGTTAGAATAGCATACAGCAGTCAAAGTGCAGACATCAGGGATTTGTATGATAGCCTAGTGTTTTTTCTCTGCCTTGTCCATTTCTTTCTTTTTAGTTCCTGATGTTTTGCTTTACTGCTAGTGAGCTTTGAAATTGCATTAATAAAACTAACTTCTGTTACTCAGATTAATTTCTCGAGCAGTAACAACTAGTTTGGAGGTGTCATTATGTAGAATTTTTCCTGTGTTCACAACTTTGTACTTTATCAGCAATGAGTTTCTACTTTTTTATCATTCAAGTGAGTTAGCATTGAGAGTTCTCTGATTATGTAGAGTTGACTTTTTGTTTTAATTGTCCTAGCAGAGTGGTCAGTGAGCTTGGTTGTGTCTTTCTCTGCTCCCTTTCCAGTTCAGTTATGTTGAGAAGTAAAACCCTTAGCACAGCTCACTCGAGGATTCCACTAGTCGCTTCCCTTGACTGAGTAGTTTGAAGGAAAGTGGCATCAATATTAAAGCATATTTTGGAGTAAATCATAGAATCATAGAATGATTAGGGTTGGAAGGGACCTCAAAGATCATCTAGTTCCAACCCCCCTGCCATGGGCAGGGAAATCCTCCACTACACCAGGTTGCCCAAAGCCTCATCCAACCTGACCTTGAACACTTCCAGGGATGGGGCATCTACAGCTTCTCTGGACAACCTGTTCCACTGCCTCCCCACCCTCTGAGTGAAAAATTTCTTCCTTATATCTAATCTAAATCTACCCTCTTTCAGTTTAAAGCCATTGCCCCTTGTCCTATCACTACATGCCCTTGTAAAAAGTCCCTCTCCAGCTTTCCTGTAGGCAAGATCACCCCGGAGTCTTCTCTTCTCCAGGCTGAACAGTCCCAACTCTCTCAGCTTGTCTTCATAGCAGAGGTGTTCCAGCCCTCAGATCATCTTTGTGGCCCTCCTCTGGACCTGCTCCAGCAGCTCCATGTCCTTCTTGTGCTGGGGACTCCAGAGCTGAAGGCAGTACTCCAGGTGGGATCTCACGAGAGCAGAGTACAGGGGCAGAATCACCTCCCTCAATCTGCTGGCCACGCTTCTTTTGATGCAGCCCAGGACACGGTTGGCTTTCTGGGCTGCCAGTGCACATTGCTGGCTCATGTTGAGCTTCTCATCCACCACCACTCCCAAGTCCTGTTCCTCCGGCCTGCTCTCAATCCATTCACCACCCAGCCTGTACTTGTGCTTGGGATTGCCCCTGCCCATGTGCAGGACCTTGCACTTGGCCTTGTTGAACTTCATGAGGTTCTCACAGGCCCACCTCTCCATCCTGTCAAGGTTTGCATCCCTTCCCTCCAGCGTGTCCTCAACACCACACAGTTGGTGTCATCAGCAAACCTGCTGAGGTGCACTCGATCCCACTGTCCATGTCGCCAAAAAAGATGTTAAATAGCACTGGTCCCAGTGCTGACCCCTGAGGAACACCACTCGTCACTGGCCTCCACGTGGACATTGGACTGTTGACCACAACTCTGAGTGCGACCATTCAGCCAATTCCTTATCCACCGAGTGGTCCATCCTTCAAAACCATGTCTTTCCATTTTAGAGAGAAGGATGTCGTGTGGTACAGTATCAAATGCTTTGGATAAGCCCAGGTAGACGATGTCAGTTGCTCTTCCCCTATCCATCAATGCTGTAACCTCATCATAGAAGGCCACCAAAT